CAATGATAACAATAACGGGAACACGATGTCCTATTAGCTATTAAAAGATGAGGGTGGTTTGAAGTTGGTTTCGTCGTTGCCACTAAGCTATTCCTACGTGTACATGTTTATTTTCCATGGTGGACGGATTATATTTTTGCTAACTTATTTAGTCCTGTCAGCTGGATGCATGCATCTTTTTTTCACATAAAACCGCTTTCAAGAAACGCATTTATCTGAGCTTTATCGCTTAACATTCTCAATTAAAACTCTGCAATACACTACCCAATTAAAATTGTCAAAGTTGACCCATTGAGAGTATACGGGCATTCCAATCTGGGGATTTAATTAGCCCAACCAATCCAGCATTCAAATATATTTTTTACGTAACAGCAATGATAACAATAACGGGAACACGATATCCTGTTAGCTATTAAAAGATGAGAGAGGTTCGAAGTCGGTTTCGTCGTTTCCACTTAGTTATTCCAACGAGTACACGTTTATTTGCCGTGGTGGACGGGTTATATTTTTGCTAACCTGTCTTGTGCTGCCAACTGGATGCATGCTTTTTTCTCACATAAGACCGCTTTCAAGAAACGCGTTCATGTGGGCTTTGTCGGTTAACATTGTCAATTAAAACTCTGCAATGCACAACCCAATTAAAATTGCCAAAGTTGGCCCACTGAGAGTATACGGGCATTCTAATCTGGGGATTTAATTAGCCCTACCAATCCATCATTCAAATATATTTTTTTAAGTAACAACAATAGTAACAATAACGGGAACACGATGTCCTATTAGCTATTAAAAGATGAGGGAGGTTCCAAGTCAGTTTCAGCGTTGCCACTAAAGTATTCCAACGTGTACACGTTTATTTGCCATGTTGGACAGTTTATATTTTTGCTACCTGTCATGTCCTGCCAGCGGGATGCATGCATCTTTTTCTCACATAAGACCGCTTCCAAGAAACACATTATGTGGGCTTTGTCAGTTAACATTGTCAATTAAAAAAAACTCTGTAATACACAACCCAATTAAAATTGCCAAAGTTGGCCCACTGAGAGAATACGGACATTCAAATCTGGGAATTTAATTAGCCCCACCAATCCACCATTCAAATATATTTTTAGGTACTAAATTGTAATATTTCAGCATGTCATTTTTTAACGGATTGAAATATGGTATCATAAGTTGTCTCGGAAAATTTCGTTGTAGGGTATTTTATGTTGAAATCGTCGTTTAACCTTGTGGTTCAACCATTCATACCGTCTACTAGTTTCACTTATGGTATGATGTTTTACCTGTCGAACAGCAGCACGGTATAGTTTTTCAATCCTTGTTTTTTTGTTATTTTTTATCTCTTGAATTTTAACTTGAAAGATTTTCCTTGTTTTTTGTTGTTATTTAAAATCTAAAGATATAGCAAATCTCTCTAAATTTTTATTTGTGAGATTTTCTTTCACCAACTTTATTTTTTTTATTTTTCTGTCACTAAATATACTCATCAATAAAATCATAATATTTTTTAGTCATTCTAATTATTTTAGTTTAGGATAATCATCTCGTTTGATTAAAAAAAATAGAATTTCTATTTTATTTAATATTAGCAACCATAGTTATCAAACAATGCAAGTTTTTAAAATATATTTAAAAAAAATCCGAAGAATTTAAATTTATAGATTGTTTACAATTCAGACAATAGACTCTAATTCTAAAAAAAAGAACCTAGACAGATCGGATTAGTTGGTATAATAGATGGATTAGATTAGGAGTGTACATATGGCAAATTTAGATCTCGAACTGGGTTGGGTTGATTTTGGAATGGCCGATTGAATCATTAGGTTAACACATAAATTCATAAAATACATTTTATATGTAAATTTTTCTCCTTCATTATCACAATGGAATGAAATTATTAGCTTCAAATTGGGGACTTTAATCAGGATATGTATGAATTTTGTGAGATGTCGATGATCGGATAAGTTTGAGATTAGCTTCAGAATTATTTGGGGAAGTGGTTGGAAAGGGAAACAAGATTATCGAAATTATTATCGCATTAGATAGGAATCATATTTTGCAAACCTAAAAATTACTCACAGATTGCAAATCCAGTTTTTGCTCTTGGAAATTTGGGCGCGAAAATTTTGCCTTTGATAAAATTTTGGCTCTACAATCCGAAACTTATGGCTCTCTCTATAATACACCAAAACCCTTGTCACTATTTGGATTTTGGCTACCAACACATTCTGTGATTAAAGGATCTTTTTCTTGTAGTGGTTGTGGAATCAGACGATCTCCTTCCCGTAACACGGTTGTATTGACTCAAAATGCGGCACAAAAAGTTAGAGAAGACAAGCATCATTGAATGCTGAGATGACTCAATGATAACAACTAAATTAGTGTTATTTAACCCTTTTATCAAGGCTTGTTTCGTGTCAATTCATGTGCATAATTTCTTGAACATCGTCGATTGCATCCCTATTTCGTTCCTATGTGAATTTGATGTGATTTTAGGGTGTATTAGTCGATATGTGCGAATTAGGTGCAAAACAAGGTCACAAGTGTAGCAAGCGGGCAGGAAGCTGAAGATCATGGCATGGGAACTGAAGATCATGGCCAGGAAGATCGCGGCCCGAAAGCCCCCGATCGCAACCGCGAATTGAAGAACTCCGGGTGCGAACTGCACGGGGAAAGAGCCAGGGAGAAACACAAGCTTTTCCCAGTCAAATCACACCCATAGCATCATTTGACCGTGAGGAAGATTACGCCCGCGACTCGTGGATCACGACCGTGAAGTCGGCCAGCGGTCTCCTCATTCTGAAGGCCAGGATGACAGCATTTCAAGATTGCGGCCTCACTTTCGAAGATCACGATCGCGATCTCTGTGATTCTGGCCGCGAACTTCTCCCTCCCCAGATTGCCTATAAAAAGAAGACTCATATCCTCTTTTAGATGAGCTGATTTTGAGAGAAACTTCTGGTTTTAGAGAGAGAGAAGAGAGACAAGCTGAAGGAAGGAGGAGCTAGAAGAGAGGGAGCATCTTCCTCAACCTAAGTCTTCTTCAATTTTTCTATGTTTCTTATTCGCTCATTTATGGAGTAGTCCTCTAAGGTACTAGGGGTTCTAAACCTCAAACCCTAGTTTTAGGATTTATTATGTATGTATGAATATTTTAGAGTTTGAATGAATGAATGAATGAATGTGTTCATCTAGTTGATTCTATTGCTATTCTATCTTTGATTGTGTTTGGGTAAGTCGCCTAACCTTCTCTATTAGCATACTTTATGCTTCTGTGCTAGGTATGGAGCTCTAGGGTTGGACGGGTATGCGCCATCAAGCGAATTGAGATAGATGTATGAATAGGGACCTATGATAGTCGAGGTGACCGAACCCCTGCCGTACGTAGGTTAGCCTTCCCAGATAGAACCCGGGATGAAACCTCAGTGTGGAGCTAGATATTGTCCATTGAAATGAGCCATGAGCTTATTGCCCTGGATATGATAGCCTATATCAAGGTGACTATATATGGGTTTAGGGTAAGCGTACTCAGAGGCGTGTGGATAACCATGAAATTTCACGGGAAAGAGCTCAATCACCACATTCGATAACCCTAAGTATTTATGCATGCATAGTAACCCTAAGCTAGGGGGATGATTTGTTCCCCGAAGTACCTGCTTTGAGCTTTGATCAATCTCTAATCTAGTTATCTCCTCAAGTCCTCCACTTAAACCTCCAAAACCAATTAACTAATTAGCAACTAGGTGGGAAGTAAGCTAGGGTACCAAGACCCGATTAAAATACGGCCTTGATCAACACTGCACGACATGCCTGTCAATTCGGTTTCGGGTTTTCGGGTTAACCCAAACCCGAACTGATATGCACATTGTTTGTTTTGGGTTTTTTTGCGTTCAACCCGATATGTAGTGCAGCGGTTTCGATTTACCAAAACCCGCAAATTATGTTTTAGGGTTTACGTTTATGCTTCATTACATGGTATTCTGTGCTTGCATGAATACTTGGTCGTTCTATCCTGAATATCACTGGTGGAGGAACAGAAATATGAATATCACTTTCCGAGTATTAGTTAGCCGTAATGACCATATTACTTTTTAATTTTCATGAATATTAATTTTACGTCATCGAATATTAGTTGGTACATAATATTAGTTAGCCGTAAATATGCATTCATCTATAGAAGAATATTAATTAACCTCTAAAGAATACGAATTCATCTTTAAAAGAATATTTGTGGACCTTCTAAAGAATACGCATTCATCTTCAAAAGTATCTTCATTGACCTTTTAAAGAATACACATTCATTTTTAAAAGAATATTTATTGACATTCTAAAGAATAAGCCTTCATCTTTAGAAGAATATTTGCTGACCTTTTAATGAATATGCATTTCATCTTTAAAAGAATACTAATTGACCTTCTATTGAATACACATTTATCTTTGTAGAATACTACGTGGCCTCGTTTGAAATACACATGCATTTATGAAAGAATATTAGTTTACCTTTTGTGAAGTGCTTCTTCATTTGCTGAATAATATTAGTTGACCTTGTATTCAATACTTTGTTGGTTGGATTTGACTAATTGTATTCATTTATGTAATTCCAATGGCGGGCTATGCAGCACTAGAAGATGAGTGCTTAAGGAAGAACTTGCAATTCAATATAGTAGCTGATTGATATAGCTTCTATTCAAGATATGGTCATGACCGAGGTTTTGGTGTTCGAGTATACAACAAACACACGAGGTTGCGCAAGAACAATAAGGGAGAGTTTGAGGAAAAGTATTGGTACCTTTACTATTGTTGCAAAAAATAAGTATTTTTGAAGGTGAGTACTAGAAATCCAAAGGTCATTAAGAAACGACCGGAGGACAGTGTCATTGTTAAAACCCAACGTAAAAGAAAAAGAAACGAGTTAAGGATTGGGTGTACAGGTCGTGTTCACTTTCAGTGGGATGTCGATAGGAATGCATTCGTGGTTAGTCATTTCAACAATATACAAAATCATGAACTGCAAGCAAAGGAGCATGCAGTTTTTGAGGTCTAACAAAAGTGTTAGTGAGGATGAAGTTCTGATGGTTGAAGCCAATGCGGATGCTGGTGTTAGTTTGACCTCTTCTTACAAACTACTTGCTATGTGTTCTGCTGGGTATGAAAACCTTAGCTTCTCGAAGAATGACCTAAAGAACCATCTGAACAAGCGAAGACAGAAGAACATAGCACATGGTGAAGCAACTTTTTTGTTGGAGTACTTTCATAAACAAATGGAAACCAAACATGGATTTTATTATTCCGTGGAAGTTGATTGTGAGGAGCAAGTTGCTAACATATTCTGGTCGAATGCCCAGATGCGGGCTGATTATAAATTGTTTGGTAACTCGGTCTCTTTCGACACAACTTACCGGACGAACAAATCCTATCGCCCATTGGGTACGTGTTTTCTTCTGTTGTTTGCATATAATTTTCTATTCAATACATTTTGTGATAGTCATAATAGCTTGAATACTCGTCCAAATTTTTTGAATACTAGTCTGGAAAGTATGAATATTACCGTGGACGGTGACAATAATGAACTTTTTAACATGTGTATGTAGGAATGTTTGTTGGTTTTAACCACCACCGACAGACTTGCATATTTGGGGCGTGTTTATTGTATGACGAGACTAGTGCATCTTTCGAGTGGTTGTTTGACGCGTTTCGTCGTTGCATGGATCATAAGCTCCCAACCACCATCTTCACCGATCAGGATGCGGCTATGGCCAAAGCACTTCGTAATGAGTGGCCCGGTGTCTTCCATGCTTTATGTACGTGGAAAATTTTAATGTGCTACTGGGTTCGCCAAATGATTTTGTATGCAGCACCTAAGTGGCCTTCCCAATGCTCCATGTATAGGCAAGCGAATACCCCATAGTCGTCTCCACCAATTTGTTGTGGTACGTCTGCAACACTGAACACCCATTCAGTCAAGTTCGACTCCAGCTTTACGCCCTTTCTCTCCATCAATGTATGCACATAGTTGAACAAGTTCATGCTCAGATGTCTTCTTCTTCTCAGCCATTTTCTCAAGTATCTGGCCAATTTATGTGGTCAACTCCAGCCATCTTTGCACCTTAGGACATTGATAACACACTTTATTCAAATCTCATCCAAATAGTATTCAAAAAAGCATCCAAATAGTATTCAAACGAGAATGCTAAACATTCGTCCATCATCCAAACAAAGTACATGGAAATAGTATTCAACGTACATGGAAATAATATTCAAATTATTCAAACTACCCAAATCTCAAAATCTATTATATCCAATTTCATGAAAGCTAAACATTCCTCTCCACATTGGGGCTCCACGTTTCCACCCTTGCAAGCCGTGCCTTCCACTTATTGAACATGAACTCAGTCATGCACTTCAACACCTTAAGCTACAAGTATTTGTAAATTTTTTTAGTTCATGCAATCTACCTTAATCTAGTATATTCGGGGAAAAAATTAAAACGTGCATGATCTTCGTCCATGCATTCCAAGTCGTCCATTAGGAGCCTCAGTGCTGCTTTGACATTTATCTCCAACAGAACCATCAAACTTCTGTCGAATCTCTGGTCTTGTCATCAACAAACCTGTTATCCCCCTACAGCCCATGGTATGGATGACTTAAAGAACAAGGCTGGACCAGTTGTAGCTTTTTATCCGCTCAATCTACCCAGCGAGGAACTCTGCATAGTCAAGCTCACAATTCCTTGACCATGATGGTCGGAGCAACGAGGCAAAGCATGAACTTCTTGACGGCCTTACGAACAGGAGGTCTAGCATTCTCATCAGTTAACTTGTCCACCATTTCACTCAGAGGAAAACTCCTGCACCTGTTTCCTCCCATCCCAATCTCAGCTTCAAAAGCCGACAACTTGGTTTTGTCTAGGCATTTTTCCAACACTATTTCTTCCCCAACGTGAGGAAGGCCATAAACAAGAGTCACGTCCTCTAAAGTCAACACCTTATTATTCTTTCCCTCTTCTAAAATGAAGTTGCTAGAAATAGTATCGTAGTGTCGTGTCATTGCACATAGCAAAAACTTATCGACGCCGCGCAATCGTATCTCAAGCAATCCATCGAAGCCTGTCTTCTTAAGCTCCTTCTCGCATTCCTCATAGTAGGCCTCATCCTTCTTTCAAAATTCAATAACTCTCAACAAAGATGATGTGTGACATCGATGTTGCGTTTTATGTGGTTTCTTGCCCTTGCCTATACCGCCACCTTTCTCAGCGGACTTCCCCCCAGCGGTCCCAGCAGATTTCCCCGCAGCTTTCCCAGAATACTTCCTCCAGACTTCCCAGCAGAAGTCTCACCAGACTTTCCTATAGCGAACTTAACTCTTTTTGCAGCAACTTGATATTCTAAACCAGGAGGAACATCTTCAGCTACAGCAGGATCTACTAAGGGTCTTTCATATGTTTAAGAACACGCTTCTTGATTCGCACCATTATTCCAAACCTGTAGACCAAGAAAACATATATTCAGAAAAGGGGGACAAACACAACACAATGAAGAGAACTAATATTTAGAACTTTCAACATGCAGTATTAATCTAGCTGCAGACAAACAATTTCAGTGAATACACAACTAATATTCAAAACCAGAAGAACTAGTATACGTCAATAACACAGTCAACATTATACAACTAATATTCAAAACCAGGAAACACTAGTATTCGTCAACTACACAATCAACATTAAACAAGTCATTCAAGGGTATTCGTCAAATACACAGTCAACTAAACTACAAGATGAACACACAACTAATATTTCAAACGAAAATAACCAGTATTCAACAGATTGAAGGTTAACAGGGAACAAATAACACTAGAATCAACTAAAATGGAGGGTTACGGTAACAACTACTTTGGGATTGAAACATATTTACTGATTCTAAGCAACACCTGATTCTAAGAAAGAACCGATTCTAAGCAAGAACCCAAAAACTTAGTCAACAAAAAAGTGCCATATCTCGCCACACAAGACACATTATGAAGAATACCCTTGAGAATCGAGTCGATTTTGAAGGTGTACCAAAAAAAACCCTAAACACGTATTCAGTAAACCCTAAACACCCAATAATAAAGTGAAAAAGGGGATTCAAAGGAAAAATCTACGCCTCGAAAGCAAAGGACAGGGGGAGAATCGTCCTCACTGTATTAATACGTGAGAAAGGCTGGCTGAAATACACAGAACTCAAGGAAGGACGATTCTTCCTCGTCGAAGCTCTCCTTGTTATCGCCTGTCCTGCTCGTCGCCAAACTCCTTCTTCGTCCTCTCTTTCCTTGTCTCTGTGTATTTTGGCCAGCCTTTCTCACGTATTAACACCAGTGAGGACGATTCTCCCTCTATCCTTACTTTCTAGGCGTGGTTTTTTCCGTGAATCCCCCTTTTTGCTTTATTCTTGGGTGTTTAGGGTTTACTGAATACAAGTTTAGGGTTTCTTGGTATACCTTCAAAATCGACTCGATTCTCAAGGGTATGCTTCATAATGTGTCTTGTGTGGGCAAGATATGTCACTTTTTTGTTGACTAAGTTTTTGGGTTCTTGCTTAGAATCGGTTCTTGCTTAGAATCAGTAAATATGGTTGAATCCAAAAGTACTTATTACCGTAATTCTCCATTTTAGTTGATTCTTGTGTTCCTTGTTCCCTGTTAACCTTCAATCTGTTGAATACTAGGGGGCCGTTTGCTTCATGGAATTGGATGTGGGATTTGGTTCTTAAATCCAAGACATGAAGGTTTTGTCCAAAAGCCATTGTTTGTTGAGCCAAAATGGAGGATACCAAATTCATGGGGTTCACTGATTTGAGGCTCCAAGGATTTGTAATTCCCACCTATTTACTTTGAATTTGAAAAAGGGAACAAATCCTTCATGAATAATGACTTATATATCCCTTTATAATTTATTTATTCCAACTTTACCCGTCATTAGTTATTCTTAATTTGCACTACTACAATTGCCTTTTATAGCTACAAACTTAGCCATTAAAAGTATTGTAGCTAATAACATGCTAATGACTATATAATCTATGCCATAAGCTAATAACATGCTAATGACTACATAATTTATTCCTCATGGCTATTTGTAAAAGTCTTTGCCACACATTTACTTTGCGATAAATGTATGATTATTTTGATTCAAATTTTGATTTGGATGGCAAGTAATACCCTTTAGCTACAAACTACATTTGTTGTTAAAATAGTAATTCTAACAAACAAATTTTAGCCAAGAATTGTAATATTACAACTATATATTGTGATTATCTACACATTTTAATATCTCGTGGCTACTAATTTTACGAGCTTGCTATAAAATGTCAATTTAAAAGCATAAATTAACAATATGACCACAAGAATAAAATTAGAAACACAAGTAAAGTTATATAAATCTAACATGAAGAAGGGTAGTAAGGTAATATACATCTTAAAGATATAAATCCATGATCAAATCAACTAAGCAAACAATGGACTCTTCCCAAATCCGTAATGCAACAAATACCTAACAAATCCTTGGATTTTAAATTAGAAAACCTTCATTTTCAAATCTATGAAGCAAACGACCCCTAGTTATTTTTGTTTGAAATATTAGTTGTGTGTTCATCTTGAAGTTTAGTTGACTATGTAGTTGACGAATATCCTTGAATGACTTGTTTAATGTTCATTATGTAGTTGACGAATATTAGTGTTTCCTGGTTTTGAATATTAGTTGTACAATGTTGACTGTGTTGTTGACGAATACCAATTCTTCTGGTTTTGAATATTAGTTGTGTATTATTGAAATTGTTTGTCTGCAGCTGGATTAATATTGAATGTTGAAAGTTCTGAATATTAGTTCTCTTCATTGTGTTGTGTTTGTCCCCCTTTTCTGAATATATGTTTTTTAGGTCTACAGGTTTGGAATAATGGTGCAAATCAAGAAGCGTGTTCCTAAACATATGAAACGACCCTTAGTAGATCCTCCTGCTGCTGAAGATGTTCCCCCTGGTTAAGAAGATCAAGTTGCTGCAAAAATAGTTAAGTTTGTTGTCGGGAAATCTGGTGAGACTTCTGCAGGGAAGTCTAGTGAGACTTCTGCTGGGAAGCCTATGGGGAAGTCTTCTGGGAAAGCTGCGGGGAAATTTGGGGGGAAGTGTGCTGGGGAAGTCTGCGGGGAAGTCTGCTGGGAAAGGTGCGGGAAAGGCAAGGGCAAGAAACCACATAAAACGCAGCATCGATGTAACACATCATCATTTGTTGAGTGTTATTGAATTTTGGAAGAAGGATGAGGCCTGCTATGAGGAATGCGAGAAAGAGCTTAAGAAGGCAAGCTTCGATGGTTTGCTGGAGATACGATTGTGCGGCGTCGATAAGTTTCTGCTGTGTGCAATGGCACGACACTACGATACTATTTCTGGCAGCATCATTTTCGGTGAGGGGGAATAAAAAGGTGCTGACCTTAGATGACGAGGACGTGGCTCGTGTTTATGGCCTTCGTCATGTTGGGGAAGAAATAGTGCTGGAGAAGTGCCTGGAAAAAAAACAAGTTGCCGGCTTTTGAAGTCGAGATTGGGATGGGAGGAAACAGGTGCATGACTTTTCCTTTTAGTGAAATGGTGGACAAGTTAATGGATGAGAATGCTAGGCCTCCTATTCGTAAGAATGTCAAGCAGTTCATGCTACTTGCCCTTGCCTCGCTACTCCGACCATCATCGTCACGGAATTGTGAGCTTGACTCTTCGGAGTTCCACGTTGGGAAGATTGAGCGGATAAAAAGCTACGACTGGTCCGACCTTGTTGTAGCGGAAATGAAGAGTAGTCTTGCTGCAGTTCAAGGAAAGGCATTCCTTAACTAGGTCCATGGAGATGTCCACTTCCTCGTTTTAAGTTTCAAGTATTCATTCTTTCATTTATGTTTGTAAATATGTTTGATTGTTTTGAATATTAATTTTATCGTGTATGAATAATAGTTTGAATGTGTTTTAATATGAGTTTCGAATGTGCTTGATTATAGTGTATGTTATTTGAATATGACTCTGGTTTTTTTGAATATAAGTCTGGGTTATTTGAATATGATTTCAATATTGTCTTAATATTTCTTTGTACAATGTTCAATAAGGTGTGTGTTCCATGAATATAAGACTCGGTTATTTGAATATCAGTTGAATCTTTAATGAATATTATTGTGTGTGTTCTATGAATATCGGTATGAGTGAATATACTTTAATCTTGTCTTGCCATTTATATTCTTTTTTTCTCCCTAATCTAACATCTTCCTCTTATTTGGCTGGCAGCTCCATTTGTTGGATTTTTTGAAGGTCAAAGGTGTTGGACCTCCTCACCCCAACCTGTAGCTACTGGTTAAAGGATTGTAAAATGAAGGTTGTTGAAGTCCCCCATACCATGGGCAGTGGGGGGATAGCAGGTTAGTTGATGACAATACCAGAGATTCGACAGAGGTCTGGTGGTTATGTTGGAGATAAAGGTCAAAGCAGCACACAAGCTCCTTATGCTCTTGAGTTTTACAACTCTTCTTGGTGGGAAAAGGACGACTTGGAGCGCATGGACGAAGATCAGGTAAGTTTTACTTTTTTCCGAACATACTAGATTAAGGTTAGATTACATGAACTAAAAAATTTACACATGCCTGCAGATCTTCAACAAAACCTCTCAACTCCGCCTGGGTTATAGAGCAGTATCCCAGCTTACAAGCGTACGCTGCAATGCAATGTCTAGAATAATGGAACCGTCAGAGTTGAGAATGACCCACTCGGGAGGTGGCGGTTTCCAAGCGATCTCTACCTCCATTCTAATGGGCAAGAAGGGCTTATGAATGAGCCTATCCTTCTCCAGGGCCATCTGCACTACATGAGGCAAAAACTTAATCCGTACTCTGGGTTGTGGAGTTATTTCAGAAGCCACTTCTATAAGGGTAGTCCAAATTATTGTCGGTGGTTAGAAAGTTTAATGAGGCTCATCCATATTAACCTGGGGAAAGGGCAGTCCCGCAACACATGTAGGACCGTCTCAGTAGCAGACTAGCAATGAGAGCAGCTACGATCTGTGGAGACATGATGTAGGCAGCATTAATCGTTAGTCATCAGGCCCTCCCTCGCCGCCCTTCACCGGAAGTGGGTCTAGGCCGATCCGCACCAGCTCCAAATTTTCTTCCAATCCAAGCCCCTTAGCTCCGTCTCTTCTCCACAGGCGAGAGCATATGCAGACTTTAACTTGAACTTGTCATTCAGTTCAGGGCCCCAGAAAACTTCGTCGTCACCTACATCCTCCCGTGTTGGTTGATGTGCTTTGACCTGCAGGGCAACCTCCCTGGGAAAGAACATATCAAGTGAACTTTCATCCCACTCACCTTCATCTCCGACAAAAGCCGCAACCGGGAGAGAGGGGTCCACTAGTGCTGCGTCCTCCCGTAGGTGGTCGATGATAGTTGATTGGAATATGGATCCATGTGACATCTAAAGATTGAACCAATATGTAAATTTCAAAAAGTTGAGGCACTAAAATATTATAATAAAAAATTTAGGTATCAAAACATAAAATTATAATATTTTTTGTATTAAAAATAAATTTTAGGTGTCATATTATAAATATAATATATATATATGCTAAACTGCAATTTGCCAACAAATCATCAATCCATCCAATTTCGCTATGGTACACAGCGAAATTTGTTTGCACCAACTCACAGGGCAGGGAGCCACGTCGCCCAAGCCAGCAACAGAGGGCCAGGATTGGTTGGCTACGGGACGGGCTCGGGAAGGAGACAAGCCGCGCTTGAGCTGTGGGAAAGCCGAGCTGAAGGATCTGGTGGGGCCAAAGAATGAGAGATGGGTGGGGTTTGGGCAAGTTTTTGGGTATTTTGGAGGGATTTTTGGCGAAAAATCCAGCGCCAAAAAAACCCTTCATTAATACCTCACCTACCAACCTCTCTCTCTCACAATCTCACACATATCTTCCTCCTCATCTTTTCTCTCCGTCCGCCATTGAAGACCAGAATTCAGAACACCAGGAAAATGCAGGAAGAGGGTTTAGGGTAACGATCTGGGACTCTGATGCAAGATCGGTCTTTCGAAGAGAAGAAAAATACTCCAGAGGAAGATAGTTTGTCGAAGATGGGGGATTATGTCGAAGGAGATGTCGCACCAGAAGAGAAGGTCCACCTTGAAGATATTTCGATAATCAAGCACATTCGAACTCATATTCAAACACATTCAAACTATTATTCATACACGATAAAACTAATTTTCAAAACAATCACACATATTCAAAAACATAAATGAAAGAACGAATACTTAAAATGAGGAAGTGGACATCTCCATGGACCCGGTCAAGGAATGTCTTTCCTAGAACTGCAACAAGAATACTCTTCATTTCTGCTACAACAAGGCCGGACCAGTTGTAGCTTTTTATCCGCTCAATCTTCCCAACAAGGAACTCCGCATAGTCAAGCTCACAATTCCGAACCCTGTTTGGTGTTGAATGAAAGCTAAGATGCGGTGCTTCTATTTACAAAAAAAAAAAAGATCCCTCGGCTGGTGAAAAATCAACGCTACATTAACCAATGATAAATGAAAGGCTAAAGCTCAACTGAAAATAGTGTGGACATACTTAACGAGCTAGATCAGCAGTAGAAAGATGAAAGGTTTCAACAGATAGTAAATACTAGTGAATGTATAATACGCCTATATTGTCCGGTAAGAAACAATAAGAAAAGAGATTCTAGTCATCCACATCAAACCCTTCTGAATTCTGATCCTCTGCTTCTTCCACTGCATCTGCAGCAAAATCAGGTGAATCCAGGTTTACCACCAGCACAGAGGAACCAGCCACTAACTCGTGTTTCCGAGCCCGTGGCATCTGCATTAACAAAGGACAACAGTTATCATTGAGGATTGATGTCATTAACAGCTCTTAACATATGTTCACATACATGAATGTAATGAAATGGAAACAATAAAGGATTTGAAAAATGAAGTTAACAAGTCAACACCCTCGTTAGTTCTTTTTTTTTTTATATATAATGGCGATAATATTATTAACGAAAGAGAACAAAGAACGCAAGCCAGTTCAATGGCCACATACAAAAAGAAGCAGCCAAGAAAAGTAGTCTGCTAGCAAAATAAAACAAACAAACTGCCCAAAGGACCATAAGGCATGATCCACCAAGAGCTAAACCCCAAACAAACCCCAAACAAAGAAACCAAAAAAGCAAGCTGCAAAACAGAAACAAGCTCCACTTCTCCACAAAAACACTGCGAGAAGCAAAAAACAAAGAGGTTGGGAAAAGCATCCCACGAGGCTAAACGATAACAAAGACAAGAGCAACATGGCAAGAGATATCTTCCTACTTCCTAGAATGCAACTAGAGTAGTAAAGATTTCATCCATCCGCTTGTGCCCTGTTGCGATATGAGGTCGCAATTTCATTGAACCATTTTATGGTGTCTATCATTCCACAAAGTCGAACTCATGTACAACTAAATGAATCCAACTATCTCAACCACAAAACAATTGAACATATTCTAAAAGCCAAGATGAAAGTGCTTAGCTTTAAACACATACCTTCTCAATCACAAAACACTTATCGTCAACGTTAGGAGAGCCTTTGAGAAAGTACTGGATCACTTGATAAGGTACTTTAAAAGAACCCTTCGAGTACAGCAAATTCAAGAACTTCAATCGTCCAAAGGGTGAAGGTTGATCTTTCACAACGTCATAAGCCTGAATCAGTATCTGAAGCGCACAAGCAAGCCAGAATTACATAAACAAAAGACAACTATTGAGTTTTGTACAGAAACATATCTAAATAAGGTTACAGTCTTGCAGTGTATCTATGCTATCATAAAATCATAGTAACATTTGGTAGAATTATGCTCATCATATATAACAATTATTTAGATCAGTAGACGAAATACCTCAGAGGTATCCATATGCAAACTGAGAGATTCTACATTACACACAGCATGGAACAAGTTAACACACCCTTCGAGCAGTGATTGCTTGTGATCATTGGAAACAAAAGCACATGAAACTAAACCCTTGTATCCCCACAGGCTGAGATCTGCATGATCAAGGGAAGGAAAGCTCCACTTTGAGACTCCCTTACGTATTCCATGAATATCTATGTCAGCCCAATAAGTGAAGGATTTGAGCTTGGGAGCAGATATTACAATGTCGTCAAAGGATTCCTTATGTATCTCCAAGTAAAGCAGTTGAGGTCCACATACTTTCAGACAACAACGAGGATCGTCCGGGTTAACTGAAATGCTACGAGAAGTGCAGTGTAGTAGTTGCAGGTATTCCAATTTGGGAAAATTAGCAAAAGGATCGAGTGGTTCATCCACTCAGACCGAAATCAAAGTAGGAGGAATGCAAAGTCAGAGTTTCAAGCTGATTCAGACGTGACAACGTCTCAAACGCAGTCCTGTCCAGATATGCTTGCTGCAATTCCAAAACTTTCAGAGACTGACAACAACTGGAGATGCATTCGATAGCATCAGGGAACACGCTGTAAAACTCCTATATTTCAATTTTCATTTCAATTTTTTTTTTACGATTAATGAGTTTGTTATGATCTACAAAATTATATAATTTTGTAGATCATAACAAACTCATTAATCGTAAAAAAAAATTGAAATGAAAATTGAAATATAGGAATATAATTTTGTAGATCATAACAAACTCATTAATCGTAAAAAAAAATTGAAATGAAAATTGAAATATAGGAGATATAAACTGAATAGAAAAAAAACATTTTAATTTAAATCCTTATATAACTTTTCAATTTATTTAAGTAATTTTTATGTACCACTCCACTCAATATAATCAAATTTGTGCTT